CTAACACGTAGGATATCGTTACTGTCACACAGATAGCTTGCATTCTTTAACTTTGTTTAGTTCTAAGATTAAAGAAGTCCAAATCACATGCTGTCACTTCCCTCCTCTCTTCCCCTGCCATTCCCAACCGTGAGAGAGAGTTAATTGATATGAAAATAACTCTGGGGGCTGTATGGCTTTGAAAAACATATAGTATTACATTCAATACTGGCAATTACAGCTTGGGGAATTCAATCACTCAAAATCTTTGTCTTTCTGCAAGTTCAAGACGTGGGACTGTCACAAAAGGAGAGCTTCTGGAGCAGCAACAAATACATGCTGGTAGAGAGCATCAAAAGCTGTGATCAAGAGCATCCCATTATGATAACTAACCAACATACCACATTCTCTTGACTCATCTCTACCCTCATGCTCAACAGCTGTAGAGAGAAAGAGGAGAAAAGGGAGATACAGAAGGATTTATCAGGAGACACTCCACTGCATGAACACAGCCTGGGAAGTGCTGAGCCCGCTCCCAAGCCCCTCGGCTCAGACACTTCCATCCAACCCTTCCCTCCTTCAAAGCAGCTCCTGCTGCCGGGGCCTGGGGATCACCCAGCAAAGCACGAGGATAAGGTGGCCACATTGTCCCACTGCCGGCTGTGCTTGGCAGTGAAGTGCTGTGCTTTCTGGAGCTGCTTTCTGTAATTAAGTTAGAAGGACACCATCATCTTGCCAGGCTCCCTCCAACCCCAAGGATCAATAACTGATGCTGAACTCCAGATTTTATCTATGCTTTGCAAGGGTAACTAAATAACACCACCGCTTGTTTTTCTGCTTTCCAATTACTAAAGCCTTTCAAGATTTAGTAATCTTGACCCACTAATTTCCAGTTTATGAAATTTTAGGCAGCGAAGAAAGCAATGAAAGGGATCTTCCAAAGCGTTTGGAGAACTTTTGTATGTGGTTTTGCTCCCCATATAGAAGTGCAGAAGTCAGTACAGGCTACAAAAACAGAGGCTCACCAACACTTCATTTCCAAGAAGAAATGGCATCCTAACTAAACTAACTCAGAGATATTTGCCTTCTAAGTGCTACTTCACAGTGTGCTCGCTATTATAACGAAGTGGCCGAGCTAGAAGGAGAACCCTTGTGAGAAGATTCTGCATTCCAATGAAGCACAGGATTGTTTTACCTACAATGCTCCCCAAATTATCCACTCATTAATATTAAAAACAGATTTTGCAGCCTGCCTTTAATAATGCTACAGACAGGCGTGAACTGCAATAGCCTCGAGTCTTATCTTCCTTAGAGAACATCCAGAAATAGTTGGACATTAAAATAGAGAAAGACACCAGCAGAGGCAACAACATGAGCAGCTTGATGACATTTTTAATGTCACTAAAGTTATGTGCTCCACTGGCAAGGCTCGAAGGCTCATTTTGGGTGGGGTTTCCAAGCGATGATGAGTAGTTTTGAAACCCCTCTTACTACATCTGGTGACATCTGTGCATTTGCACTTACTAACTGGTGCTGGGCCAGCGCCGCGTGTGCAGGAGGGTTACACGCCACCAGAACACGTACACACGAGGAACACACGTGTGCCAGAATTATGTCAACAGGTCTCCTCAATTTGCTTCCAGGAAATTCATCTCGCCTTGCAGCAATAGGAAGGGAATGTTAATGCTTTTTCCCTTTTTCCCTGTGCCTATGTTGATTATTCCAGGCATGGACTAACTACAGTAAACCACAATGGGTATTTTATCTGCCATTCCTGTTTCCCTTGGCTAATGTGAAGATACAGATTGCAACCCACAAGTGGATTTCAGCATTGCCATTACCACTGTTGCTGTACACTGCTGCATTTTAAACACGCTTCCTACACCAGCAGAATGTCACCATTTGTAAAATCTGGGCTGATTTTATCAGCCACTGATGCAGCAGGACTCGCTTCATCACAAGAGCCCACGAGCCAGTGTATTAGCCTGATGAGCCCCAGCTACTGCGCAGAGAAGAAAAATGTCACTGAGAACTGGATAAGTTCAAGATGAAGATGACTCTTTGCCTTCTGCATTTGTTTCTTCCTTTCACCTTGACTTGCGGGGCAAAGACCCGGGGAGGGGGCTCCAGGCACCCTTGGACCACATGGGCAGGGACAGACCTGGGTTTGGAGCCTGACTCCGATGGAGCACACAGGAAGCGTGGGCAGCATCATCTTTACCCAGCAGCATTTGGAGTCTGTTTTTGGTCCTTTTGGACTCTTAGCTCCTAACCCCCTTAGATCTCAGCTACGAGCTTACACAAGGATGCTAATGCAAAGAGTAATGTTGTGGCTTGCATGTAGAATAGGCTATAAAAAATTAAACAATGAAATAAATTCACAGAATTTAAGACCTGTTGCCTCTTGTCTTCAACAGACACTGTGGGGAAAAAGCCCTTTGGTGGAAAACCCAAAGGGTTCCACGGCAGCTGAAGTACCCCCACATCTGCAGCCCTCAGCTTCAGGAGTTATGGACCTTTTCTCCAGATAAGACAGTGAAAAGATGCTTTTGGAAGAGGCATCCATCCTCGGGGGCTGCTCGCCCAGGTCCACAGCTGAGAGCAGGGCTCCCAGTGCTATCCCACCTCCCCACAGAGCACAGAAAAGCTGAACCAGAGCTGTTAGAGCAGAGCTCAGCACAAGCAGAGCACAAACGCCGACGCTTCCCAGTGCCCTCACGCCTTGCAAAGTGCTTACAGCAGCACAGTGCCACTGGCAGGGACAAAGGAGGGATCACCTTGAGGTACACAGGGAGGAGACGAGCATCTTGCTTGCAGGAAGCAAAGGAAGGACTAATGCACGTTGCTCTATTTTTACTGTCCTTGCAGAGTCTCTGCCTGCCCGGGCAGTGGAGCCCAGTCAAGGCAGACACAAGCTGGCAAAGAGACCACGAGTGAGTTCAGAGGGCAGGAACAGAGCTCGCTGTGGGCACAACCAAGAGCTTCAGTGGGAACAAAACTCCACCACTGGGGACACTTCAGCAAATGGAGACTTTCTATCTCTGGAGCAGAGCCCTTATCTGGGGACGAGGCAGTCGCTGGGGCCACCCAGAAAAAAAGGGCTGCAGGACAGGCTGATGTCCCCCAGGACAAGCCATCCCTGCGGAGCCGCCGGTGCCTCCATCCCCTGGCATCCTTGAGAGGGACAGTGGAGACCTGCCCTGTGGGGTGACAGGGGCACAGCCAAGGTTGGGCACTTGGGAAACGGCCTGCAAAAGCCTCAAAAGCACAGGGAATGGAGACGAACTCCAGGATGTTTCCAGCCTGCCCAATGCACACTGCATAAACTTGCCAGGTTAAGGAACAGTCTAAGAGAGGAAAACAAGGAATACAATCAGAAGCCTTGCTGGAATACATTCACAGGGTCCAGTCTGCTGAGTACGTGTGTTCCTGGGACCAGACCCCCCAGTACTCCAGAGCCCAGCTGCCAGCACATCACGTCAGAGCGGGGCCCGAGCCCTTGAGCCCAGCACAAAAGCACTACATAACACAGCTTTCAAGGCAACAAACAACATGTCAAGATCCTGAATGGAGAAGGGTATTTATGGGCCGTTTAAGGGTGGTTGCAAAGAGAAGGGTGGAAAATTCCTGGATATAAAAGGAAGTTGCCAGGGGTTGAACTTTGCAAACTATGTAAGAGGTCTGAACACTTGGTTCCTGTTACAAAACTGATGGGCACTGGCGGGCCACATGCCTTCTCTGAAGAGCTTATCTTTCTGAGCAAGTCTTTTGCTTGCTGCTGCTGAGTTCTGCAGGGTACTATGATCCCTGACACCAGAGAGGGATCAGTGCCTGGGAAGGAAGTGCTGGAGGGGGGGAACGCTATCCTGGAGGTTTGCCTGACTCACCCAACCATCCACACAAACCAAGCTGCTTGTTAAGGAAGTCTCAGAGCAGTGAATAATTCACACAGCTCTGGGAGGTCAGGTCTTCTGACCCTGCCACGGAGGTGAAGATGAGCTGGGCTGCTCCCCTCTCCCATTCCCCATGCTCCCACCGCTGCCTGGCTGGGCACAGGCTCTTCTACACCTGGAAGCAGCCTCTCTAAACAAACAGGCTGCATCCACCACGGAGACAATAACCACATCCATCAAGAGAGCCCCTCAACGAGGCCGGAGTGCGAAGGGCAAACAACAAACCTCAGGGCTACACGTCCACGCCGTCGCACGGGGGCAGAAGCCACAAGCTGCGCTGGTTTCCTGCACTGCCTCCAAACACACACATTAGGGCAGAGGGATTGGTGGCACAAAATCAATGCCATTCAGACGAAAGGGAAAAGGGTCTCAGAGGCTGTCCCCAGAGCCGTTCCCGGTGTCCCTGTGAGATCCCAGGCACATCTAACCCTGTCCCAGCAGAAGGGAGTGGATGCCGAGCTGCTCTCTGCCTGCAGCGATAACATGAACCTCTCACTGAGAGACAGAGCAGCACCATTTATTTCTGCTGAAGGGAATGGCCACAACATTGAAAATAATCCTCAGCTCATTTGCACTGAGCTGTACGAGCAATGATGAAACCCTGTCTCTCTCTTGTGAAATATGGGGAGGGAAATTCCTCTTCTGCAAATCCTGCTTCTTCTGAGCTACCATCACTGAAGGACAAGCAGTCCTCAGCTCCCAAACTCCAGCATGCTTGAAACCCCAGGAGAGGGGTTTAGCACCTTAATTTCCTAGTATCTCAGTCTAACTGGCCGTATGCCCAGCTTAACCTAATGACAGCCGCCATGGTAACAAACAGAGCCCAACAATGGTCCTCCCAAAGATAAGCCTTTAGACTGACCAGCAGAATCAAATAACTAGTAAGAAAATCCACATAACACATGGCATTAACATGCCAAACAGCCCTTCCTCTGCAACACCTGCACGACAGAAGGGTTTAGCACCCCTGGACACAGGCACCGGGTCATCACGCTGACAGCGATGGGCTGTGCTCACCGTGCAGAAGCTGTCGCACAATGTGACGCCTGAGCTCCTGTTCTCTCTTACCTCTATGCCTGTTGGTCGTCTTGTCAAACATAAGCATGGCGTCCTCCACCTGCAAGAGAGAAGGGAGACGTGTGCTTTAACACCTTCACAAAGACAGCAGACAGACAGGGGGGAGACAAGGGCAGGAGCAGCCTCAGCTCAGGTACAAACGATGCATCCGATCTCCTTTTGCTCAGTAAGCTCTCTGTTTCGGGAATCTGCTGCTTTCCACCCCCATCCCAGCTGACATTTGATCCTAAAGCAGAAAATTCAGCATTGAACGTTCTGTTGTCGGTCCCTGGCTGTGCCTCATCCCAGCCTTTTCTCCTTTTGCAGGGAGATAAGGAAGGACCAAGAGAGGAGCTGTGGATGGAGATCAAGCCCGTGACTTCTCCAAATTAGAGTCACTGTCTTGGCTGAGAATTAGGAGGTTAAAAGAAGTATGAGCAGGGTAAAACCTGGTCAGCCAAGAAAGGTATTCAGAGGCTTTCAAAAGGCCTTTTGAAAAGCCAGAGGAAAGAGGGGAGAGGGAGGAGGGAGAAGGTTTAATTCGCATCAGGCTTGGCATTTCCACTTCAGAAGAGAGATGACTGATGAAACGTATTGAAGTGCAACCAAATTGCTTTCAACTTTCATTACTATTTGCATGATTTATTCCACCTCCATTTAATCTGTGCAGCCACACCTAAAATTTTACACTTATTTTAGAAGGATGTTGTGCTGGAGTTTATTTTCCAGCATCGCCACATGTTAAACTGCTGCTCAGAGGCTGCAGGAGCTGGGGCAGGTTGGTCCCGTGTGCTGCAGGAAACGTCCTCATCTGAAAACCTGTCTCTGTACTTAACTTTTTCAGAGTTGGTTTGCAAACTGTGTTAGCAATGGCCCGAGATGGGGGGGAACAGCATGGCTCCTTGACACCCATCTTGAGCGAGACCTAAAGGTGCTGATGCACTGAAAAATCCAAAGCACATTAAGCACAGAGCTATTTGTCCTGCTGTCTTTCCTCACTCCAAGGAAGAAAGCTCACCAGTATGAGCAATACCAGGAGGCAGATAAGGACAGAGCTGCCCTTCACCCTACACCACCGCTTATCTCTGCCCCAGGGTTCTGTTTGCGCAGCAATCTTTATTTTTCATCCTCACAGGTCTTGGCCTCCCTGGATCCAAAAATTACATGTTGCACCTCGTGCAGGTTCCTGGAGCATCACGGCTTCCTCCACCTCAGTGTGCCACCCACCCTGTGCCCCCAGTTCTAACACTCAAGCTCTCCCAGTGTTGCCTCACATCCCAAACCAGAGCCCAGAGAGGTCCTGGACACACTGCAGCACAGATCCACCAGCCCTGGTCCCCCGACCAGGAGGTGATGCTGGCTGCAGGCTGGACACACACTGAAAGAGCTGCCATTACAAAACGACTCCTCCTCGTGCAAGGACGTTACTGGGGACTTTCAAAAGGCTGTTTGCATTGCTGTAAGGGGGAGAAGAGACATAAAAGGAGATACAACATGATGCTAACCTTGCTTTAGCATGTCCATGCCTGAGCCCAAAGTCTCCCATCAGCTGAAGCTGTGGGGTACAAACCCCTCAGGCTCAGCGGCACCGCCATGGATCTGATCTGAACCTCTTGTGCATCCTCATCCTGCTCCTCCAAGCGCTGCCATGGCAGAGGAACAGGTCCTGGCACAAGACCAGCACTGGAGGGGCCGAGGGGCCCTGGGCACAGTCCCTGGTCATGGTGGGGAGCTGCAGTTTTGTTCAGCTCTCCCACCTCTACAACATGACACATGCTCTGGGCAAACGATGTTCTGAGCCATGTGTACGAGGGCCCCGCTTCGCTGGAATGATGATCTTGGCAGAGAGCTTTTTTATGCAAATAAACCCTTATTAGCAGTAACAACGCAGCCTGCATGGGCTGATCCAGGGGGTTTCCATGCGCTGGCTGGGACCCCGAGGCGCGCAGGTACCCTGGAGGTGGGCACTTCATCCCCCAAACCTCCTTCTGGGATCAGAACCAGACATGCAGCTACCTTGGAAAGGGTCGGCCCCACCAGTTCAAACCTGAAAGCCTGCAAAGGGGAGAAGCGGCTCCGCAGCTGAGTTTCAGATGTGGACCAAGCCTGTCTTTAAGAAAGAATAATCAGTGGGGTGTTCTTTAAGCCAGCTGGTGCCCTTTCAACAATGTCTAATTGGTTATCTTTTCTGTTTCCTAAGGTCAGAACATTTTATCTCCGTCTCTGCCCTTTCGGAGTCTACCCCACCCTGCGTTATTTTTTAGGGCAGGCATTGTACCAGAAGAATAGCCTCTTGCCTCCATAGTCCGGTGACACAATGAGACTTCTTGAAACCTCCTGAATAGATAAAGTGCAACGGCAAAGGGAAAATTCTATTAACGCTTTGCAAAATAAAACATCTGAGAGCAGCTTAGACAAGGGAGAGGGAAATCAATGCGAGGGGGCAGCGCGCAGAGAAAACTTTTCACCAGTTGCAAAAAGGTGGCGAGGGTATGGGAGGGAGGGGGAGAAAGAGACTTATTAATTCAGAAAGCCCATCAATGGTATGGAAATCTGGCAGAACAGCAAGAACTGAAACTAGAAGAATTTGAATATACAAAGGGCTGAATAGAATGAGAAAACCACAGTGCCTCACACACACAGCCCGTTTCTCACGGGTCTCCGTGAATCAAACACAAGCGGCTTGTTCAAGTTTTCATCAAGGAGAAATAAGGGACGCAGTCAAGGTAACCGGCAGTAAACCCTGTAGTAAGCAAATCGATCCCTGTTTCAGGGGAAGGAGGGGAAAAAAAACAACCCACGAATGAAACTCAAGTACACTGAGGAGCTGCGACTGTCCAAATGTTAACCCCCTCCTCCGACCAGCGTTTGAAAGATGCTTGAAGTGCAAGTTTCCAGGTCTCAACTCAACACACGCAACCTTGATTGCACAAAGAGAAGATTTTCCTGTGCCAAAACAGGGCTGGAAGATGCAGTTGCCACCTGCAAGGCTTGGCTGGTCACCCATCAGAACCGAACCCAGCTACCAGCCACAAAGCGGCCTCCTGCAGGTACAGCATGTTCTCTGGGCTAAGTGAGGAACAGCACACCAAGGAGCTGGGTTCCATCCATCCAGCCCCTGAGCAGAGCCACCAAAAATGTACATCTTTTAGATGCAGGATGGCTCAACATGGAGGCTTAAAGGAGCTGATCAATCTGAGCTAGTTCTGGGCATGAGAATGTGTTACACAATGAACAGTCTTAGCACATGAGGTAAATAAAATAAAGAAAATAAAGACTTGCCAGATAATACCAGTTACAAACAGACACTTAAGCCCAACAGACTTCTCTGTCCCATCATACCCTTTACATACATCCAATTTAGACCCAGTTTCTTACATAAAGCCTGACTAATGGGCTTTAGTTTATTTAACTTTTCTTTTTCAACCCACTTGGGGCTCTGAGCTAAGGAAGGGCTGTACCACTTCATTACTCATTGCCTGGAAGGAGGAATAGGGGAGAATAGGAGGAAAGAAAAAAACCTGGAGGAGCCAAAGGCTTTAATAATCCTAACAGTTCCCAGGGTTATTTAAAATATGCCCAACCAGTTCACAAAAGGCTCCACAGAGATAAATGTATTTGATTTTCTTCCACTTTAATGGAGGCATACATTTAAAGCAACAAAACCAGGGTGACCTAAATAAAATGACCATTAATTGTACTCAGAAAGGCTCTGAATTTAATGCAACTGATCTAGCACAGCAAAGAACACACAATATTCTCCATTCATTCCTCCCACCTCCCTCTCCAGGGTTTTCAGCTCCTCTTTTCCACGGGGCAGCCCTGAGCCATCAGAGATGATCAAACCCGCTCGCACCGCAGTGACCAGGCTGGGTCTCCTGTGAGGAGCAGCAGCGACTCTCCAAGCCCCTGGAGGACAGTGCTCCAGACACAGAGCACGGTGCTGCCACTGCCTGCTGGAATGGCCAAACCAGGATGTTTTCTGGAAAACTCCATCTTTACTTCTAACAGCCACGGGATGGACCAGCAAACTCCAGAAGTGCTCCAGGTACATGTAGCTTGTAAAGCCAATGGTCAGTTACAAGGTGCTGCACGTCCCCAAGAGCAACAACAGCCACTACTTCACATCTCTTCTTTTTTGTATCTGGATCAAGTTTACTCATTGAGTAAACCCTCCACAGGGAAACTACCATAACCACAACGAATGTTTTCATGCCTCACACTCCTCATCCAGCCTAGGAAAGATTTTCCTGATCCAAACCCTGAATTTCTGACACATCCAGAGCAAGTTGAGATGTTCCTGTGTTCGCCCCAGTATGTCCTCAACACTCCCAAACGGGTTTGGTGTTATGCTTTCCATCCCTTCAAGGTAAAGAGGAATTAGGGCAGACAAATGAAATAATACACCGTTATCAAACACTGTGGCCATCAGATTGGGTCCTAGGAGAAAAGAAATTCCAGAAGGATGACATTCAGCTGGGCTGCTTCTACCTCCTCTCATCCCTGACTTGTGAACTTTACAGGTCTATCCCTTCTTCTGCTCTCCCAAGAAAAGTGTGCTGGATATCCTGGTCTAATTCCAGAAATTCTTTATCCACACTGCACAGCTCCTCCACTCTTTGCTTTCTGAAGCAGAAAAACCTCTGAGCTGTTAGTAACCTGTCAGGTGCTGTTATTTGAAACGTGCGTGTGAAATCCAAGCACCAGCAACGTGCTCCTGTGGATTTACAGCCTCCTCTCCACAGAAATTAAGACAAATGCATATCCTGCACCAGACAGGTAAGGAAAGATGGTTCCAGCAAGCCCCTGGGTTTGCTTACAGGAGAATTAAACAAATAAACAAATGCTTTAACGTTTCCCCCTCTCTCTGTCAAGCTGCTATTCCCATCACAGCTCCTTGTCTGAAGGCACCCACAGCATCCTCATCATCATCCATTGCCCTTCATCCCACACACAGCACGGTCCCTCGCTGAGCATTCCCAGTGTTCCACAGTGACAACTTACCAACCGAGGACTGACATATTATGCACCATGACAATAATCAATGCCATACTGTGCAAG